AGTTTATTTGCTGCAGACCTTCTATATGTTGTGATCCTTTAACCATAAACTTGTGTGTCTTTATTCTGAGTTTTGGGGCAAGTAGATGCTAAGCATCATATTACCAGAGCTCATGGATTTGTATCAATTTGGATTTCTGGTCAATTTCAGTTTCCAGCTGAAATATTTTGGGATAATGTCTGCCTGCTCTGACAATAAAAGGCAATTTCATGTACCAGTTAGTAGGGATGTAAGCCTGCACATTTTTTATTGTGATGCTAGGTGTGGGATTTCTGAAGATGTGTTACATAACACATTACACATGGTTGGGTGATGTTGCACTATAGTTGGGGATCTAATTTAATGCAAAGTATCCCGCTAATAACCTGCTTCCACTCATCCCTTCCCTTTCTTCCCTCTGACTGGTCTGTGAGCTCAGAGGAGCCATCTATACTGGAAGAGCCAAAGACAATGATTCTGTCATTGTTTTGTTTACCTCGTTTACTTTGGGGCACAGAGAGAAACAGACAATATATGATTTCTGAAACATTGCTTGGCTACTCCACCATTACTGTCTTATAATTTGTCCCAATATTACAGAATCTTTGGTTCTGAACGTGTTTGACTTGAAATCTTAATTATATAGTCATCTCCAGCTCCATATATATTAAAGCTTTTCTGCAGAGCTAAAAAGCTGCTGATTTGACTGGCGTGATTTGCATGTCATTAGCAAGAGACCTGGTGCCCTCCAGTATCCACTAGCATTTCCGCGGGCTCTTGCCTCCCCTAGCAGTGGTTTTGTGTTTTGGCTTGTGGTATTGCTAAGATGGAAGAGGCAATAAATTACCCTTATTACCTTAATCATCACAAGATTGCTGAATAAGCTTCACTCCATCATACAGAAATCACATCCCAGCAGCTGCTACAGCTCTTTAAGATTAGCTGCTGTTTCCAAGCAGCAAGGATATGAGTCAATCAATATAAAAAGCATTACGATTGCACAGAGTACCACATGCAACAGACTCTTGCATATAGTTCAGGCTCTGATTGTATCTCTAGAGAGTTTACACATCTGATGTGAATTAATACAGTAATAGGATCCTTGGAGGCATTTTCATTGCAAATTGCAAATGCAAATCAGTGTGATAGGCCAGATTTTTCTTATACTTCCTCTTGAAATACATTTCTCGTACCAGTGTCTCACTCTCAATTTTGTAACAGGACTTGAAATTGTGCTCAAATGAATAGCGTTGTGGAGATGAAAACAGTTATGCTAAGTGCCTAACAAGGGGAAATGGCCAATCTGTTGCCCAAGGGATCAAATACAATAGGAACATCTACTAGTAAAGGCAGCTCATCCGGAGAATCATCATCTTGGCCAGCCTCTTCAAAATATGGAAACAAACTGGCAATTTCAGGGGCTGCAATTTTCAATCTGACTGGCATCTCTTAATAATTCATTTTGGTGCATTGTGCTCACTGTAGGATATATCTGTCAGCAATTAAACTTGTTATTAATGGTAGTAGTACAGCTCAGTTAACCATGGGTCACCTTCACCCTAACCATATTAGTTCAGCAATATGGTACAAAGTCCAGCAAAGGGGCTCCCTGCTGGTGGGAAATTCATTTCTGCAGAAATGGTAACTCCAGCCAGTGTTGGCCCAAGATATATTGTCACCTGGGGTAAACCACTAAATGCCTGGCCCCCATCAGGGAAGAAAGGGTGAGTGGAGATCTGCACTGGGAACAAGGGTCGGGGGAATGAAATCATCCTTCCCTGATGGTTGAAGTGGGGAATTGAAGTCCATTGTTGCAGAGAAAGGAGCCTACTCTGAATCATGCTGTGTGCGTGCAGAACTCAGGAGATCCCAGTGAGCAGCTCCCACCATTTCCTCCTTAGGGGTGGAAGGATACCAGCAGTGCCTCCTATTTGCCGAGAAGCCACTGTGGAGGCAGCCCTGAAAACCGGCCTCTTGGCAAAGAGGAGGCACTGATTATGGTCTCCTACACCCTTGGGGAGGAAATGGTGGAGGCTGCCCTCTGGAGTCTCCAGGGAGTGTTCTGCAACCATTGCCACTGCGGCGGTAGGCGACGCATTCCTTGGAGGCCAGACCTGCTGCCCTTGTGGATTCTGCTGCCCGAGGTAGTCACCTTACCTTGCCTCATGCATGCACCGGCCTGACTCCAGCCATTAAATATTCATTTGAGATTGTTCCCATTTGAAATATTATCTTTTTTATCTCTACTGCTATCATTGTTGTTGTTGTTGTTGTTTAGTCGTGTCCGACTCTTCGTGACCCCATGAACCAGAGCACGCCAGGCACTCCTGTCTTCCACTGCCTCCCGCAGTTTGGTCAGACTCATGTTTGTAGCTTCGAGAACACTGTCCAACCATCTCATCCTCTGTTGTCCCCTTCTTCTTGTGCCCTTCATCTTTCCCAACATCAGGGTCTTTTCTAGGGAATCTTCTCTTCTCATGAGGTGGCCAAAGTATTGGAGCCTCAGCTTCACGATCTGTCCTTCCAGTGAGCACTCAGGGCTGATTTCCTAAAGAATGGATACGTTTGATCTTCTTGCAGTCCATGGGACTCTCAAGAGTCTCCTCCAGCACCATAATTCTATCTGCTACCACTGCTATCATTAGAGAATATCAATAAGGGAAACCATTCTACTATCAGAAATGTCCTTTGGATATTTTTAATGCATTGTTAACAGTTTATATGGTTGGGGGGATATATTCTGATGGGCAATAGACAGACTGAGTTTATCTTTGTGATGCAACAGGGTCAGGTGACTTGTTAACCTTTGCAACCCATGATGATGTTTCTATCCTTGCTCAGCAATATCCCATTTTCATAGGGCTTCTTCTCTAACCTAGTCAGGTAGTTCTTAATTCCTTCAAGAACATGTGTGAAGCTTCATCAGCAGGCTGTCAACTTAGCCCTAATATGGTGCCATGCACTGTATCCATCACTTGTCTTCAGAAACACAAACAATCTGAGTGACTTATGATGCCATCCTCCAATTGGGTTTTATCAACTGCGAATGCTAAGTTGATTATCATCATGGGGCAGCTCAGTGCTGAAGAACATTATCTGGGACTTTATCAGCCTTGGCAGCACCATCTCTAATGACAGCTCTTTGGATCAAGAGACATCAAAAGAATACAAAAGGAAAGCCAGGCTTTTGAAATACTTTGCCACAAGGGTACTCCACCAGCATACTATCCAACTGTCAACAGAACTGATCATCACTTTTACATGGGTGTGAAATATGGACAGATCACTGCAGGCATATCAAGCAACTTGAAAGATTTCACATGTGCTATCTACTAGGTCTTCTGGCAAGGTAGTGTCAGATTTTGCACTTGTTGAAAATAATAATAAAAAACAGATCAGCAAGGCATTTATCATTAAAGGCCAACTTTGGTGTGTGTGTGTGTGTGTGTGTGTGTGTGTGTGTGTGTGTTTAAAACTGACCTGCCCAATGTAAGACTTTCAGGCTACGCTTTCCACAGAGGGCTTGTCCTTCTGGTTGGCTGTCTCCATTTGTTACTTGTTTGGTCACCCAGCATGCTTGGTGTTGTCAAAGCAGCTTGGTCACTATTACCATGCATATATGCATCATAGCACTAGAAGCATGCTATGTATTGCACCAAACTCAAATATTATCCCTCTGTAGAAGACTTAGAGCTTCCCTTGACATTGCCCTTGTCTTTGCAAATGAGTGATTGGATAAAGACATTTCTCTGCCTTTGGAAGAAGAAACCTATCATGGTCTCAACACTGGACAAAGCAAGCAAGGAAGTACAAGGACAGGGGTCAGCAAACTTTTTCTGGAGGGGGCAGGTCCACTGTCCCTCGGACCTTGTGGGGGGCTGGACCCCCCACCCTCCCAAAAGCACCCCCCTCCCAAAAGGACCCCTGCTGCCGCCACTCACACCGCCGCCGCCTCATCTCCGGCAGTGTTTTCATTGTCCTATGCCTCTGCACAGAGCCCATGCTGTTAGCCTGGGTGGCAGAGGCAGCCTTTGCGCCGCTGCCGCTTCCTTCTGCTCAGCTTTTTCTGCTCGACCACCTTTGAGCTCCGCCACTTCCTTCCTGCTGAGGTGGCCAAGCAGTAGCAAGCGGCCCAGCAGGAAGAGCCGAGCGGGAGGAAGTGTCGATGGCACAGAGGCCACGTCAGCATAGCCACCTTCCCAGAGGTGTCTGTGATTTCTGATTGATTGCAGGAGCTTCCTGCAGCCAATCAGAAGCCTTGTCGTGGAAGTCAGTCCCCACAAGGCCTCCACGCTGCATCGCTTTAGCGCAGGGACTGACTGAGTGGGCAACAGAGTCCGCAAGGTTCACAGGCTGGATTAACGAGCCCGGCGGGCCGCATCTGGCCTGGGGACCTTAGTTTGCTGGCCCCTGCACAAGGCTGAGATCCAGAGGAGACCAACAATTTGTTCTGGGGCAAGAAAGTCTGGTAAGCAAGTAGAATCCTAGAACCTTGCAGGAATTGTAACAGAGGGGACTTGAATTGACAATCTAGTACCAGTTGAAGGCTTTTAAAAATTGCACACTTTCCCCTAACGGGTTTTATGGTCCTTAAAAAAAAAAAAGTCTCAATTCGGGGGTGGGGTATGCAGGGAATGTTGGTGTTTTCAATGTGGCGAATCTCAAGCAGCTTTGTTATCTCTGATTGGGCCTGTAAAAAAATTTTTTTAGGGGAATAAGTGGGTGACTCTAGGCAGGGGCGGGTAGCTAACAAAGAGTTTGCAGTAACAGCTTGTCTGCTGCAAAACTGGGACATGTTTCCCACTCTTCAGTTAAAAGTTTTTATCTCTCAGTCCCTTTTCCCTCAAATTGGGCTCAATACTTGTGCAGGTACTGACAAAAATGGTTCCCATTGAGTTATTAGACTAGTTTCATCCATTCATTTAAGTGCTGTAAATTATTTGAACTAGAAAAAAGTGACTCTCTAATTTAAGGTCTTACGCTTATCACAAATTCTTTAACGCAATTTGCTGTCTTTGAAATAAAACACAAGACATGTTTTAATGTGCTCAATGACTGCATTATATTGTTACATTTTAAACTTGTATCACAAGGTGTTGACAGTTTAAAAAGAATATAATCTCTGAGTATTTCCCCCCAAAATTAGCCGTTACAGAAGACATTTGCCCTGCCCATTTCAAACAAATATATTTGACACTTCAGAGTAAAAAGGATTAACCCACCCCACCCACTCCCCAAACCAAAACTTCATAGCACAGAGGTACTTCAAAGTGATGATGTTTAAGAGGTATTAAATAAACATAAGCAACTGCACAAAGTATTGCAAAGCAAAAACAAGGTGTGTTTTTTAAACAACAACAAAGAAGTTAGGATCTGTTGATGACCAAATGTGAAATCACCAAAACTAATTTTAATTTGCAAATAGGGAAACATTGGTATTATACACAAAGGTTTTCAACATTTTAGTGCATGACATTTGCAATGTACTTTTGATATCTATCATATTAAATGCTATCATCCAACTCAGAATTATGTGCTAACCTGCACTCAAATAAATGATGACAATTTGCACTAGATGGCAACTTAACAACATCTTGACAGGAGGCTGGAATTTACGTAAATAACTAGGTTAGAGAGAATTGTTGTGTTTTATGATATCTCTGAAGAAGTTTTAGTGGAAATAGTTTTTGGTTACAAAGAATATTTACTTAGATCTGGGAACATCAACTATCTCAGAAGACTAAAATGTGCTTTCAGACATCCATGCAATGTTTAGGCAGCCCTCTTTAAATAAGACATGGAAGTGGCAGGTGCAGTTACATGAAGCTCCCAAATACAATATTTCTTTGCTTTCTACAGTGGTGGATGGCCCAGCATGTTCCTTTTTTTTTGCCTGAAAGTGAGGTTATTTCCAGAAATCACTGGCCATCCACAGTTTCTGGGCAAAAGGAGGAACAGACCTGGGGAACACTGTGCAATTTGCTGCCTTTATGGGCGCAATAGTGGTGTAATTAATACATTTGCCTATACATATGCACAACTGATGCATATATTCCTTATGAAGGACTACATCTCTCAGCACACTTTACTTCCATACATTCAAGTGAGGCATTCATGGGTGGACTGCTATTATAAATGGTATTGGTGATTCGTGTACTGGGCAATGTGGAGTGATTTCCTCTATATGCTGCTAAGTATCTCACTTCCAGAGCTGCAAGGGGAAGGAGGATAACAGTGGAGATAGAGTTGTAAAGTTTTGTTTTTACTTTTACAAGCGCCTGCAGTATGTTATAAAAGGGGCTATTTCATGCTATGTATTTATTCGACTCTATAAAATCTTTTTATCCTTTCTCTTTTTTGAATACACTATGGCACATGGGAAGCAAGGACAGTTTCTTTTGTTAAACAGAAGTGTCAATACATTAGACAGTTCATTATTTAAGGTATTGGAATCACTGCTGTGGGTATTTTGTTGTTGTTCTCCAACCTTGTTTAGACATGGTGAAGGAATGCCACAAAGGGACAACTTTCATGCAATTATGAATTGATTTCACTCTGCCATAATCAAGTAGATATTAATATAGCATTTTTTAAAAGCAGAAGTTAACAAAATATCCTCATGTTAATTACTGAAACTCTTACATGCATACTGTCATAAGGTTACTACATTTACCAACTTGTCCTCTATAGTTAGGCAAAACAGCTAACTAAGTAGTTTGTGAGTTCTAACAGCCAGGTTGCCAAAATTCATGTAGGATGAGTGTAGGAAGTTTAGGCTTCCTTCCTCTGCTGGACTGTATAAAAACATTTAACAGCACTTTGTAGGGCAAAGGCCTTAACGTGACCTGTCACAGACTTATTTTGAATATGCTCCTATGAACCTACACTATGGGCCTTCCTGCATGTCTCACCCTAAAGTGGCTTATGGCCTAACACGTTTGCTCTCTCTGTGCCTACTCATAATATCAGGAATGGAATGAATGGAAGCAAGGCAAGAGTTGCACTACAGAATGGTTGGGCATCTGACCCAAGGATGAGTTCTACCCTAAAAGCATGGGCAGCTGGTACATTAGGGCAAATAGGGCATTACCCACCAACCTCATTCTGCTGTCAGCCTTCCTACTTGCAGCATGTCCAGGAGTAGTTGGTTTGGTGTAATTCAGCAGGGAGGACAATGGGGACAAAACTAGAATTAGCTGACTCTGCCTACTATTGACACCAGCTCAGCTACTGATGTTCTCCTTGCCTTCTACCCTGCCCATTCCAATGAGAGCCAATCACCACTGTTTAATAGTGTTATTGAAATTACCTGCAACTACCATATTTTTTCTTCTTCAAAAAGGTGCCTACACATTTCCACTAAAACTCAGATTAAATGTATAATTAGAGCTGTACAAAAATGTTTAATAAAAGTGGATGGATTTTCTTACACAGTTTAATCCATAAGAGCTTATTTTGATAACTTTTTTTTTAAAAAAAGTTCCTTATGGCAATCTATCCCCAAGTAAAAGTTGCTTGTTCGTGAACAACCGGTGAACCAGAAGGTGGGCTGTGGCTGCTGGAAAATGTGCCACAAAGGTTCTAGACAGCAAAGCACAAAAGCCCATGAGCTCCTGGCTCAGGTATTATGCATGTTCCAGATAAAACACACTGTGTGACACTTAAGAGAGCAAAAATGTCATCTGAACTGACCTTTCGTTACATGAAGGTCTTAAGAAGCAATGATCAAGCAAGCTCAAATAAAATTTAAGCAAGGTTGTAATCCTAGACATCTGACATATTGGCGATCTATGATTAGACCTCCCATCCCTTAATATACGTTAAAAACAGTTGTGGGGGGAGGAGGGATGAATTGGATCAGGACTATAGTACCTGAGCTGCTCTTTGCCCTATTAGAGAAAATGTGTGTGTACCCATATGTTTTCCCTAATAGGAGAAATAGCAGCAGTATATGTTATTTATTTCATTTTCTGTATTTCTGTTCTTTCTGGAAAGATACATTGAAAAGACACTTAGATTGGGAACACACACCATGGGGGAAAGGGTTTAACCTCCTTTCCCTGGTGTTACGATCCCAGTCCTATTCAGGGGCCCTGGAGATCTGAACACAGAACAACAATATCTAGTCTAGAATGGCCCTATGTTTTTAGACAACTTAATTTTGTGGTGGGAGGAAGGAATGTGTGTAGCTATACTGCATTCTGAGGTAGTACATATAGTGATATATGCAGATGTAAAGGCAAAACATTTAATTATGTGACATTTATGTATAGTTGTGATAAGCTCTGTAAATAGGGGTCAGTTGAAACAAGGAAGCTTTATTCACCATGGCCTACATATACAGCTCAGAATGTACCGTTTAAAGTGGCTTGTTTAGAAATTCTTCATAGTGGTTTAATTTTCAAATAAGGAACTTTGCCTAAAAGGGCTTTTTTGGTCTTGTTTGAAACTGGTACAATGATATTTAAGATGTCACTCCTCAACAAGAGAAGGGCAGTTATATGAGAGCATAGCCTATTATATGTTATGCTTATATGAATTGTACATCTCTCTGCCTTTTAAGAAATGTTAAGATGCAAAGCACTTAAAAGATTAAGTGTTGTGCTCAGCAGAGTTCCACTCGCACTGGGGCAAAACAGCAGAAAGCCATTTAAGCGAATCCTCCACCCCACCCCACCCCCCTAAAGCTGCGACTAGGGTTTGAAGGACCCGCTGGAATAGCAAGGAAGGTTTTGTGTGAGGCTGTAGGTGAAAGTGGTGAAACTGGTTGCCCACTCCGTTCATTCAGTGGAAGCTGCTGCTTGATCCCGGTTCCCACTGCAAATGGAAGAATCCTTTCCGTTCATGGAAGGGCAAGTTGGGAACCAACTCAATGTTTTTAGTTATTAAATTTAAAATATGAATGCATGCTAATATTCTGCTATATTCTAAATACATTTCATGGTAAATGTATGTGAGTGCTAGATTCCTAAGCGGTATTTCAGTGGTTGCATAAAGCTCCAGTGATTAACTTTCCATGAATAATTTGAGGCCTAGTCACCCCATCCAGTCCCTCTGCTTACAAGAGAGTTTGGTAGAAGGTTTCCTAGGAATATCTATTTGGAAATATATCTTCAGTAATTCCCCCTCTTAATATTAGAAAATAAGGCAAATACTGTTCAGAAAAAGGTGCTATGACCTCCAGTCTACGCTTTTACTAGGTCACCAGGTAAACATATGACAAGAGTGGGAATCATATCAATAACAAAAGCAAGGCTTTTTGTTTTTAAATCTGCATTTTCAAATAGAATAAAAAGCTATCAAAAGACTCTGTGACCGAACATAATATTTAGAAAATACTTTTTAGACTTTATAGATACAAGCTTCCTGTATTTACAATATATCTTCTTCTAACACCCCCCCCCATTTCCCCTTTAAGAGACATGTCCATTAAATTACATAACATGTTCCAAATGTGGAATAACATGACTGGGCTAGTAAAACTGAAGCATCAGGCAAGCTTGCATCTTTTTGGACTTGCTCTTTGTCAGAATTTGGTTCTGTAAAATCTCTGGTTGCCAGCTACTAGGCTGCTCAGAAGCATGGCAGGAAACAGAAAAAAACAACAACACAACTGCCATAATAATTAACATTAGTGTAAAAAAAAAAAAGTAGTATGTTCACAGATGCTCTAATAATCACTTTAACATTTTGGCTTTTAAATTCTAGCAAATTGCTTCTTCTTTTTCTGATATTCAGTACATTGTTTCAAAATACTGTGCATTAGAAAATATACACTTTGCCCATCTAAGTGGCTTACCAATTTGGCTTTATGTATTAAACACATTTTGACATGAGTTTGAAAATGTAGATTAGACAAAAGCAATTTTTTGCCTTATGCCTACTAGTCAATTCTCAATAGAGTGGGAGGTAACAGCAGAATGCCTGTTCTTTAACTAGAAACATTTGTTTCTAAGAAAGATGTCTAGCAGGGGTTGGGGAACCCGTGACTCCCATATGTTGTTGGTACTCCCACAAACCCTAGCTAGCAAAGCCTACATGGTTTTTTCTTTCCTTGAATTCAAACTTGTGAGTAGCCTTGACCCAGACACGTGGGTCTTAAGTAGCTGCAGGATGTAGAACCTGAACTCATATGCTGCTACCCATCTAAACAGGCTGGTTCCATTCTCTTTTGGACAGCTAGCGCAAGAAAATTGAATACTGCATGGACAAAAAGCGGCTGATAATTCCATTATAATATAAGCTATTTAGTGGTGAAGTAGAATAATTGATGGGTAATTGATTTTTCTTAAACAAACAAACAAACAAACAAACAAACCAGTATACACCACTTATTTAAAATGCAGCAGGTGTACAGCAGGTGGGAAAGTTTAAATAGAATGATTATACCCCTTGTATATATAACACTGAATCTAGCCACTCCGTCCCAACCAAAGAAAAGAATGTATAGTTGCTAGAATGTCAGATGAGGAAGACATAGTCTGGGTGACCCTGAACCAGTTGTTCTCTCTGTCAAACCCAGAATATGTGGATGTTATGAGGATAAAAACCCTTCACCCTTTGGAGTAAAAATGGGATACATAGTGTTGTTAATAATACCCACTTCCCCGGCTAGGAAAACAATGTATGCTTTTTGTGATATTTTATTGAGAGGGACATTTAGTGGAAAACGATAGTGAAAGCAGCTTTCACTACAAAATCAGGCCGCTGTGAGTATTATGGCTCTTGCTGAAGCTCAGTCTAGGCTGATTTTGTTCCTGACAGTTTTGAGCACCAGCCTGACCTCCCCTCCCTCATGCAGAATGCACATCAGTTGCTTAGTGCCCCACCAACATGGCTCCTATAAACTCACTGTTGTAAGGTATTTTGCACATCTGAGTGTTTCTCTTTAATCATCTGCAGTAAAGAAAAAATATTCCATCATGTAAAACACACCATATCCTCCTGAAGTGTGTGTACATGTGTGTGTGGTGGTGGTGGTGGTGGTGGTGGGCGTGTGTGTGCACGGAATCAAAAAGAAAATGTGTTAGGAGCAATTTTTACAGTGCGTCACTATTACACATGTGGCATACTCAAAGGACAGCTTTTGGGCTGATCAAAATGTAGTATGGTCAAAATGCCTCAAATACACATGTGTGTGTTTGTGTGATGTGCTAGGGAGCACTATATAGAGTATCTCTTTTCCCCACCCTGCTACAACTATTTCAGCTCATTGCCTGGGTCATCTCATCTCAACATGTACTAATATAGCTTTTATATAGCATGTTTGACTGTATCTAGAGAATCTAATTCTGATTACCTTCATATTAATAGATTATGTTTCTGAAAGCTTTAACAAAGGCAAATGAGTTTTATAACCATCTAAATAGGTAAGATTTTTTCCTCCAAATATCCATATAAAGTTCATATAAGTGCATAATTAGAAAATACATCTTTAAATAGAGTCAAAAACATATTCTGCAAAAGATATGGTTTAACTTTGGTACAATCCTATGTTCTCATTTTTAAAAAAAAATTTTTTTAGCAGTGATAAGAAGCCATATATCTTTCTACGACTGATGCTGTAGAGTTGTGATAAAGTTTAACTGAAGCCAAAATAGCTGAATCCATCATGCTTAAAACTTGAGAGATAAGATTCTAAAGAAATTGATGGGGGCTGTACAGTGCTTTCTCAGGCTTACAAAAAAGGCCTGTTATGATGTGTGCTGTATCAGCTTCAATCTGAATTAATTAATATGCAAATTTTACTTTTTTCCTTTCATGTCAAAATAAGAACTGCCAATGGACTCCTGTCCTCTTTCGTTGACCAGATCTTTTGATGCTGCTTGTTTTAAAAGCAATTTTATATGTTATTCGTCTCCATTCATATAAACCATTCCCCACACTTTTTGGGTCAATCTACTGCACACCCTCCCTGAAATTCATGGGAGCTGCATAAAAACATAGTAGATTGACACGTGTGAGTAATACTAAAGAAGAAGAGATAGGAACATTATATTTTAACACTGCTTATATCTATTGAGGATTGCATTTTTAATATACAGTAAGTTGTGTGGGTTTTTTTTGCACAATAACGTTTGTAAAAATACATATTTATATTTCTGGTTGTTATTTTCTGGAATTCATTTGAATTTAATTTATCTTCATTGTTGCTCTTTCCACATTTAGCTCTTTTCACCATGTCTCCATTGTAAAGTAAATAAAACACTTCCCAGTTCTTTGGCATTGGGAGGGGTTCATACTGCCGTGATGCTTCCATTGTGACGAGAACGTGACCTTTCCAAATTTACTCGTCTGTTATCTGGAATATAAAGGGAGAAGGAAACATTATAAGATTTTAAAACATGGATACTGCAATGTCAAGAGGTTTTCAAGCAGTCCTGAAAATAATTTCAAAGCAGTAGATAAATAAATTACTAGGTGGATGGATCAGAGAAATTTCAGAGTACAGCTGCCAGGAATTCAAAAGTTCTGCAATCAACAATGAATTAATCTCCTGATCTGAAACTCTGGGGGTGATAAAGGCATTCTGTGGAAGAATTCTGTGGCACTCTCCCTTGGAAATAGTGGGTGACAACCAAAAATGCAGGGTAAAGTGTTACTAAATGAAGATGTCTCTGTGCCCAGTTGCTTTGGGAAAGAGAAAGTAATATTATCCTTTCCTTGAGAGGCAAGTTCACCCGCATCATTCATAAAGTAGGGACAAATGACATAACTCATTATTCCCTTTACACCCACCCACCCACCCACCCACCACTTCCTACAAATTACCTGGATGAGCAACTTCAATATAAACTATTACTGCACAGCAATTATTGCAATGGAAAATCATAGCATAGGAAGATTATTTCATGGGCTACAAGTCCAATGTCCTGAAAGCACAATTTTAAGTCAGGCATGCTATAGTTGAAAATATATTAACAAACATGGTATTTCCTCAAATGTGTTTAGCATCTCCTGACCAGTAAAATGCAAGTGACATGGCTGAAATTCCTGTGTGATACAGACATGCAACTGATTAGCTTAAATCGCATGACAAATGTTAGCTCTCTGGAGATAAATAAATGTGACACATTGAGAGAAGAGTTAAATAGTTCTGGGAAGGGTTCAAGAAGCAATGGGTAGATTAAAAACTAATAAACTTCCATTTACTTCTGTATAAGTAGCTAGAAAAATGGATTTTAGAATTCATGGATAAGTGCCTCCCAGCCACTTTCCTTTTGGGCAATGTCTCTCTCCCCTTTTCCTCCTCCTGAAATCCCTGTATTAAGAAATTTGAAGTTATGCAGCCAACCACACAATGAAAGACACAAGTGTCCCATCCTACTGCACCTGATGATAGGCCGAACCTCTTCTGTGAAACCCACAAACTATGCCATTAATTCAGGAAATCCTGCTGAACTAAAGTCCAATTTGCATAAAATGTACAATATGTTTTTATTAATCCCTTATAAAAGACTATGGGAGGTAGAGGGCATCATGCAAATATAGCAAGCTTTTTTGCATTAATCATGGAGATGAAAACTCTGGAACCAGTTGGTGAGCACTTCCTACAAATATACATCTCTGCCATGCAGGGGTGAAATCATCACATACAAATAACAGGCCCTAAAAGAGTTGAATTGATTGTTGTTTGAAGAAGTTCTAGAAAAGGAAGGTGTATCCCTGGACTACAAAACCTCAGTTAAAAGAGTGACAACTTCACAAATTTGGATAATGTCTAGTAAAAATAGCTAGAAGATACTCTCTTTGGGATTATGTTGTTGACAGAATGCAAAACCAAACTACTGAATTTTTAATTAACACCTACAATCCTGTGGTGCTGTTTAAATGATTATTTGCTGTTGCATTTAGAATGTTGAAGTTGCTGAAGAAATTGGGGGGGGGGGGGAGAGGACCAGGGAGCGATTATTAGCTATGACCTGATAATTTCTGCTCAGAAGATATATTTCCACTTTAAGGGGGCTGGGAAAAAACTTGCCAGATTTGGAATTTAAGCTATTTTTTTTGGAAGTGAAATATGTACACCAACATTGGACAAAGCATTCAGCTTCACAATAGGAAAGAATGACAGGTTTGAGAAGGCACATAGTGTCTGTTGCTTGTATTTCTTATCCTTGTACCATACATGCATCTTACATTATAGAAAAGAAAAACACTCGCTTTCCATATTGCCTTCTGTATAAATCTCAGGACAGATAATAATAATATTAAATAAACATATACAGTGGTGCCCCGCAAGACCAATGCCTCGCAAGACGGAAAACCCGCTAGACGAAAGGGTTTTCCGTTTCGGAGGCGCTTCGCAAGACGAATTTCCCTATGGGCTTGCCCTAGCACCTTTAATTTCAGTCACCAGCAGCTTTAATTTCAGTCACCAATGTAGTTCATTCAGCATCAGTATTATGTGGTTCCTGATAGCTGTCCTGCCAATGTATTGAAAGCCACATTTTTCACCAATTGCATTACAATAATCTAAATGAGTGGTGATCAGAGCATGGCTCACAGTGGCTAGGCTATCTCTATCCAGAAACCTTAGGAAGAAAGAACAGAAATTTGTAATTAACATGAATTTCTATTTGAAAAGTGGACTGGAGAATAACCAGTGAATAGGATGACCCACTGGATTGGATAGGCAGGCCTTTTAAAGCCTTTTGCCTCCTCTTTCAGCCATCCCACCCTCCAGTTCTAAGTGGCAGAGCAAAAAATGGCCCCTCTACCCCAAAATATAACCATAGCCAGGATGACTATGCCCCGCATTTCCAAACCAGGACAACAAAAGCATATGAATCTACACCATGGGTAGGCAAACTAAGGCCTGGGGGCCAGATCCGGCCCAATCGCCTTCTCAATCCGGCCCGCAGACGGTCCAGGAATCAGTGTGTTTTTACATCAGTAGAATGTGTCCTTTTATTTAAAATGCATCTCTGGGTTATCTGTGGGGCATAGGAATTCATTCAACCCCCCCCCAAATATAGTCTGGCCCCCCCACAAGTTCTGAGGGACAGTGGACCGGCCCCCTGCTGAAAAAGTTTGCTGACTCCTGATCTACACTCTGTAAGCCTAAGATAATGCAGAGGAAAAAACAGAGGTGGATGAATGTCTTCCAGCACACTCTTCAAACAGAAATGCACAGCAAAGACCAATTTCTGTTTTTGCATCTTGAGTGGACTCGAGGACATTCAGTGAATAGGATGTAACAGAGCAGTTTTCTCTAAGGACAGGGTGGGATTCCTCTTCATCAAAAGCAAACAACCCTCCATAGCACCTTTCTATCCAAAGCAGCATAAACTGAGGAAGAAGAAGTATGAGAAGAGGCCCAGTGGCCTCCCTGGAGCATATGCATTGTGTTCAAAAGGCCCCAGGTTCAACCTTGGTAGGGTTGAGAAGGACTCCTGCTTGAAACCTCAGAGAGATAAGACAGTACTGATTCAACCATTTGTTCTCAGAGAAAAGAACATGCTCATACTATGAACGTTCCCCTAGCACTGCTTCCAATGAAAATTCATAGTATAAAAAGAACATTCCAATCTGTGCACAAACAGCAGTATTTAAATATTCATGTTGTAATCAGACAAATTAAATGCCTTCTGTACTTTGACTGGTAAGTTGTTGAATTAATTCTCTTCTGTTTAAGTATGTACAAAACCCTAGCTGAGAATCAGTTTGTTTTCAATTGATTTAGCACATGGTTCCTTCAAAGCATGTGGTATGCTACAGATGAAAAGTGCTCCCCTTTCTGCCTGCAGAATACCCATCTCTCCATCAGGGCACATACCTTGGCTATACATGGCCCAGCCCAGCTCTATGGGGCTGTTTGGGTGTCTCCCGAAAAGAAATATTTTAGAGGAAAAAGGATACCTCCCGATGGGAGGAGGCTAGAGAAATAGAGAATTGTGTATGGAACCAACATATAGTCCCATCTGTTGCTTTGCATCTTATAGGAACATTCTGAAGGCTAAGGGTGCTGGGCAGACAAATGTATCCAGGGCACAAAAAATCTCTTGAAGTTTCTAGTGATTTTTGCTGTCTTTAAGTGAGATATCCCGGGAGTATAGCAAATACTTGCTGTCAGTACACAACTGAGTGCAAATTGCTTCAAACAGCCTTATCTGGCATACCCAAGTTTTATCTGTTACAGGCAGTATTTGCTCGAAGTGGCTAAGCAGGGAATTTGAAGCAGCGGCAGCAGCAACAACAATAACAACTACTACTACTACTACTACTACTACTACTACTACTACTACTACAGAGGCACACAGACTTGCTATTCCTAGAAACAGCAGTGCTATGGTATGAATGATTTAGCAGAAGCTTATCCCACAATAAACTGATCCCAAGTGTGTGTGTTCAAAGAAATATATGTGGAATATGGAAGAAAGGATGTGTGAAGAACTGGATGTTGCATGGATGTGGTAGTTTAAAAGTATTCTTCTAACAATTATTTTTGTACTTCAGAGTTGAGTAATTAACTCTGAAGTACAACAATAATTGTTAGAAGAATACTGTTAAACTACCACATCCATGCAACTGACACAAAATTTAAATGACTGTATCAGAGTGGCATTTAAGATCTTGGGACAAAACAGATTTGTACGCTAAGCTGCAAATGCACATTGCAACCTGCTGGTGCTCCAAAGGCCAAAAGCTATGGCTTACTCTCCAATACCTGAAACAACACTAAACTAGGAGCTGAAGCTGCATTGTCAGCTGAGAAATTAACCTAAAAGTTGAAGTTGCCTTCATACTTTGGGAACTTGTTGTCTCAGGATGACAGTTCCATAAATGCACTTCTGTTTGCTCCAAAGACAGTCACATAGAGCATAAAAGCAAACATGGTAAGTGCTTGCATGGCGGAAGGTATTCTAACATTAGAGAAGAACATTACTTCTTCAGTATTACGGTGATAACACAGAAGAATAACTTAAATGTGTATATAATAGGGCATAACTCATGCAAGTTCAGACATTTCATGGCCAATAGCAGTGTTGATTCTAGCTTTTGAGGGAGTTCAGACAAGAGATCCCCAGTAGGCTCTACCCTTCTCTTCACTGCCATCAACTACTCTCTCTCTCTCTCTCCCTCCAGTGCCAACCACCATTGTCACCCAGCCTCTTCACTCCCATACATCTCTTGGTTGTTCCCTCTGGTTGCAAGGAGGCATAGGAGCAGGACCAGGTAGTTCTGAAGGCCAACAGTGGACTCCCTAGCTGAAGCATGAGCTTCAACCAGTGCCTGATGATGTTGAATCCTGTAACCAGCCCTGACAGATGGGTTGTATTGGGTTACCAGTAAGAGGAT